GGGCCGGGAGCTCCAGCCCTGCCACCCCCCTGCCCCCCATCCTCCAGGCCCCGCTGATGTGATTTTCCTCCCCGCAGAACCCGCTGTTGGTCGGGCTGAAGGGGACCAGCCTCGTGGTGAGTCCTAGAATCCTAAACCAGCCTGAGTTAAAGTGACCCATGAAGACCCTAGGGTCAAACTCCTGGCTCCACGCTAAGAATTAAGCCATAAATCTCAGAGCGTTGTCCCAACGCTTCTCAAATATCAGCAGGCTCGAGGCCATGGCCCCCTGCTTGGGGAGCCTGCTCTGCTGCTCCACCACCCTCTCAGCGAAGATTTTCTGTCCCAATCCCCCACCTGAACTTGCCCTGGTGCAGCTTTCAGCCTTTCCCTCGTGCCCAGGCACCCCGCAACCACCCTGTTCTCCTTCCCCAGGAGACCGTGCAGATCCTCCAAGCCAAAGTCAACATCCTGGACGTGGCTGTGCTGGACCAAGTGGAGGCTCGGCTGCAGGTGAGAGGGGATAAAAGGAGGCTGGGGATAAGCGGCACAGAGCCAGGGGAGAGCCAAGGGAGGGCACCAGCAAAGGCTATGAAGTTTGGGTGGATGCTGCTGGATTTGGTGTCTCACATCTGCCTCCCCCCTCCGCAGAGCGTCCTGGCGAAGGTGAATGAAATCGCCAAGCACAAGGCCGTTGTGCAGGACGCTGACACCCAGAGCAAGGTAAGAGCAGCAGGGCAGGCCCCCCAAAGCAACTGCAGCACGGGGGGCTTATGTGGAATCCCCCTGCAGACTGTGCTTACGCCCTCCTTTCTTGCTTTCCGCCCCTTGCCCCAGATCCACCAGGTCTATGAGATGATGCAGCGCTGGGACCCCGTGGCCAGCAGCCTGCCCGATGTAGTGCAGCGACTGCTGACCCTCAGGGAGCTGCACGAGCAAGGTGAGGGGCAAGGAAGGGGGATGCTGGGGACAGTGGTGTGGTGTGACAAGGGGGATCCTGGGGCCTGGGGGCCCTCCGGTGCTGAGTTTTCGCCTCCCTTCCCAGCCACACAGTTTGGGCAGGTCCTTGTGCACCTGGACACCACGCAGCAGGAGATAGCTGGTGCTCTCAAGGACAACACCGTGCTGCTGGCAGAGGCGAGTTTCAGCAGCATGTGCTGGGGTGGGAGGGGTCCCCATCCTGTCCTCCCTGCTCACTCCCTTCCCCACTGACCCCCCTGCAGGTCCAGAAGACGATGAAGGAAAACCTGGCCATTGTAGAGGACAACTTTGCTGACATAGAAGCCCGCATCAAGCGGCTGCAAAAGTGAGAGCACCCTGGAGCACCTCCCTGAGCATCTGCATCCCCCCCCCGGCGTCGTGGTCCCCTGGGAATCTCTCCCTCTGCCTGCAAGTAGCAGTCCCTGTTTGTGTGTACCTGGCCGTGCTCCCCTGCGCAGAATGGGGCTGTGGAGGGGCCCTTCCCACCCCCCAGTTAGCACACGGTGGGAGGCCACTGCCCCCCGTTCCTGGATTTACCCCAATAAATGTCCTGGATCGAAGCGCGTCTGTGCTGGCATCTCCTTCAGGCTGCGGGACATGAGCAGGGCTCAGCTGGGGTGTTTGAAATGCAGCTTTTACTGTGCATACAAGCCCTCCGAGCACCCCCAGTGTAGCTCGAGCTAAGACTTTACGCTTTTTTAGTTTAAACCCATTAGCCCTCGTGCTATCAGAGAAGAAATATTTCTCCTCAACACCTGCGGTGCGTTGGAGACATCGCGTGGGGCAGCACAGGAGAGGGGGCTTTGGAGAAAGGGGACAAAATCATCCAAATGTGGCCGGCTGCTTTTGTCCTGCTAAGCAGAGTAAGGTGAAAGGACGTGCGCCGGAACAGACCTTTATTTAGGAATAAACGGGCAGGATGGAGGGCACCAGGTCCCTGTGGAGGCGCTCAGTAAAGGAGCAGCTCCGAACCAGCCACCGCTGCCGGCTGCGTGATGCCTGCACGGGTTCCCAGCCCCTCACCTCCCTCCTCCGCGCCCCTGCTGCTGAGGCTGTTTTTGGGGGCGTTGGGGGCACGGACACGCCATATAAGGTCATGTGGCGGCATCCTTCCTTTATGACGTCATCCCTCCCTTATGACGTCACAGCCACGGCACAGTATATAAGGCCCGCTCGCGCCCACGGGGCCAGCAGTAGGGATTGCCTCTGCTGCTGTGCGGTGCTGGTGTTTGCTGGGGGCTCAGAGCCTTCTGTCCCTCTCAGGCCCAGGCCGTGCGATTGCTGGTGGCTTTTGCTGGCGGCATTTGGTGACTGTTCACTGAGTTCCGGTAATTTCTGGTTATTTATTATTCGTGGTTATTGAAACCATGACCGGCGGTGGTGACGGCCAGGGGCCTGTGGCTCGTGGTCAGCCCTCATCCCGTCGGGGCCCTGTGCAGCAGAACGAGCACGGGCAGGAGCTGGAGGCGCTGCAGGCCGAGCGTCTCCAGACCCAGGAGCTGCAGCGGCGCCTCAACACCGAGGCCCGGGAGATGAAGAGGGCAGAGCAGGAGCGGCAGCTCCTGGCCCAGCAGCTGCGCTCCAAATGGGAGCAGGAGCGGGCGCGGGAGCTGCAGCAGCTCGAGGAGCGGAGCCGGAGGCAGCGGGCGGCGGAGCTCTGGCAGCTGCTGCAAGAGAAGGAGGCCGAGCGGCGCCGGGAGCAGGAGCTGCTCCAGAGGCAGCGGGAGGACGCCGCGCAGATCCTGGCCCTGAAGAAGATGAGCCTGCAGAGAAGGCTCTTCTACAAAGAAATGGTGAAGAAGGCCGAGTGCGGGGCGCCTGCCTCCCACGACAGGGACAAGGCCGCGGCCCGGCGCCACGTGGGATTTCAAGTCTCAGGGCAGCAAGAGCCCTGCACCCCCGGCAGCGGAGACGGACGGCTTCTAGAGCAGAAAGCCAAACTGCTCAATGACCTGCAGGAGCTGAGGAGGCGATACGGGCTCCTGCAGGAGCAGGCCTGCCTCCTGAAGGACGAGGGCTCCCTGCTGGAAGCCAGGGAGAAGGCAGGGAGGCTCGCCAAGGACGTCAGCGAGCTGGGCCTCCTGACCAAGAAGCTGAAGGAAAGAGTCAGGCAGCTGAAAGAGCTTGCCTCGAGATTTGAAAATCCTGCTGCGAAGACTGAGGAGGTCGACCAGCAGCTGTTTGAAAAGGAGGCGATGGAGAAGCTTCGGCTGCAGAAGAAGCTGGACCTGGAACGCTCCCGGCTGAAGAACAGGAGCGAGGAGCTCAAGGTGCATCTGGCACAGATGCTGGAAGAAAAAGCCGCACGCGACCAGGAGAACTCTCAGCTGCTCAGGCAGAACAAGAGGATAAAGGAGACTGAGGCTGAAAACGCTGCTCTGAAGCAGGAAGTCCTGCAAGTGTCAGAGCAGCGAAATGCTAAACAGCTCATAGACGTACTGCACTATCTCAGTTGTGAATTTCAGAACATGAGCCAACTGGCCAAAATAATGCAGCAACGGGAGATGGAGCGAGAGGAAACAGAGCTCATGCTGCAGAAGAAAGAAGAGGAGGCGAAGCATTGGCAGAAGGCTTGGGCAGAGCGACAACGGGCACATGAGGAAGAGCTGCAAGCGTTACGAGCGCAGCTGACACAATCCGAGCAGCGGTGTCAGCAGCAAAGGCAGCGATGTGAGCTGCTCTCACAAGGACTTGAGCTGGAGAAAAGCAAAAATTCCAACCGGATCATCTCACACCTGCCCCAGGAGACGACAGCTCCCTCAGCACAGGCCCGGGACCTCACGGACCACGAAGACGGCTCTGATGCTTCGGAAAAGTCAACCATCATCTACGCAAGCTCCACGACGTCAGATGTCACCCTCGACATCCCTGGGTGCTGCTTTTCCTCGGACGAGGGCTCTGTAGACGGGAGCGAAGAATCGGAAGCATGGCGCGTGTCCTCCACCCCACAGTCCCTGGGTCCGAACGAGTGCTCCCAAATGAAGTTTCCTCTGGCTCTGGGAAACGACGTCTATGTCTTTGGGGACAAGGAGCAGTGCTTCAAGCTGCTGAGGGAGCTGCAGGACTTTAGGAGAGGAATTCTCCCCTCCACGGCAGTTGCAGCAGAAGGCTCAGCCCACAGCCAGGCGTCGGCTCCGGAGCTCCATGACCCCGTGCCGGACAGCGGTACCGAAGCGAGTTCCTGCAGCAGAAGAGGACAGAAGAGCTGGAGAAGCAATAAATAAGGAATAAATCGTGATAAGAATTGGGGTCTGCGTGGTGCTTGGACTCGGGGGGGTGCTCGAGTTCCACATCAGCCGCTCCCTCCCTCCCCAAATAGGACACGAAGGGCTCAGGGGTTGAGATAACGCCGATAACGCTGCCGGTTGGGGGGGGTCGGTGGGGGGGGGGGGGGGGGGGGGGGGGGTGCTTGGGCTGTGACGTCATAGAGTGGAATTTGGGGTGGGGCTTGTCGGAGGGGCGGGGCTTGACTGGAGGGGGCGGGGCTTGGTGGGCGGGGCTTGGGTAGGAGGGACCGGAGGGGGAGGGGTCGGGGGGGGACCCCAGTACCGGGCGGGGGGGGGATTCTGGGGCCCCCCCCAGTCCCTACCGCAGCGACCCCGCGGCCCGGGGATGGGCCGGGGGCTCCCGAACCCCCGTGGGAAGCCCCTCGGGGCCCCCCCGCGCCGCCTCCCGGCCGCCGCCTTTGTTCTGCTGCCAGACCCCTCGGGGGGGGCAGGGCCGGGGGGGGGGCCCGACGTTTCCACCCCCCCCCGCCCTGCCCTGCAGCACCCCGGCGTCTGGCCCTGGCTTCGGGGTCAAGTTCCCAGGGGCCAGGGATGCGGCAGCCCCCCCCACCCGGCCCTGCCCCTCCCCGGGCTGGGGTTTGCAGCGGGGTCACCGCCTCGTGCCCCCCCCCCATGAAGAGGAGTTTCGGGATGCCCCCCCCCCGCCCCAGGGAGGGTCCTGAGAGCAGCGAGACCCTGCCCAGCCCCCACATCCCCCCCCCAGGATTTCCCTGTGCCGCCCCCCCCCAAGGCTGTGTCCGGCCCCCCCTGCTCAGCGCCATGCACTGGGTGCCCCCTGCCCCCCCCTGGTGCCCCCCCCCATCCTTGGTGCTGTCTCACTCATGGGGCCTGAGCACCCTGTGCCCCCCATGATGCCCCCCCCTCGAAGCCAGCACCACCGGAGCCCCCTGAGATGGGACCCCCCCATGGGGATGTGCCAGCTGCGGCATCACCACCCTGCCCCCCCAGCCCCCCCCCAGTTCCCCCCCCCCCCCGCAGCCACCTCCCCACGCCTTTATCCCAGGCTTTGCCGCAATGCAGAGCCGCGGCTGCAGCCCCCTCCCCACGCCCAGCAGACTCAGCCCCCGCTGCAGCCCCGCAGCCCCCCCCATCTCCTGCCCCCCCCCCCCCCGAGCTCTGCCCCCCATGCCCCTTTCACCCCCCCACCCCCCCAGTGTCCTTTCTGTTGTGGCTCCCTTGGGGGCTTTGTAGTGCCAGCAGTGCTGGGGGGGGGGCACAGAGCACCTTGGTTGTGGGGACACACTGTGCCCCCCCCCATGGGGATGGGGTCCCCAGCAGCTCTTTGAAGGGGGACACTGGGGGGGGGCAGGCTGGGTGCTCCCCCCCCCGCCATGCCCCCACCACCCCAGGGCCCCCCCATCCTGCACCCAGGCGAGGAGCAGCCCCGTCCGTCCGTCTGAGCGACCCCGTCACATCGATGCTCAGGGGACAGACAGACGGACAGACAGAGCCGGGGGGGGGGGCTGGCGGCACGGGGGGGGGCACACAGAGCTGGAAACCTCAGCTGGCCCCGAGCCAGCGCCGGTTTCTCAGCTCCGGGCTGCACCGGGGGGGGGGAGCGGGGCTGGGTGCTGAGGGGGGGCTGGCTCATGGGGTCCCCATGGGGACACCCAGATGTGGAGGGGGGGTCGGACTGGGGGGATCCGGGGGGGTCTCGTGGCCTCTGTGCTCGGTCATTCCTGGGCTGCAAACACGGTGAGGGCCCAGCAACCATCACCAGGAGCTGCTACCAACAGTCAACAGAGCACAGGCGGCCGGGGGGGGGGCTGGGAGCCGGGGGGGGGCAGCTGGGAATTGGGGGGGGGGCTGAGAGTTGGGGTGGGGCGCTGGGAGATGAGGGGGCAGCAGGCAGCGGGGCCAGCCCCCCCCCTTACCCCTCAATCAGTGCACATAGGGCTGGGTGTTGGGTCCAGGGCTGGTGACCCCCCCGTACCATGGGGGGGGGGTAAAGGAATGGAGTTGCCCCCCCTTCACCATAGCACAGGGGGGGCAGGCAGTGGAGGGGGCCCCGGGATGGCGTCACCCCCCCCTGCAGCACAGCACTGGGGGATTTGGGGCCCCGACCCCCCCAGCCCCCACCCCCCGGCCCTGCAAGGTGATGGATGTCGGGGGGGGGGTCCCAAGGGGGGGTCGCAGCCCGTGTCCCAGCAACCGGTTGCCTGGCAGCAGTGCCAAGTGGCCTTCCCATACCTAATGATGGGAAGGGTCTGGGAGGGGCCATCCCCCCCCCCCCGCCACCCAGAGCCCTTCGCCCTTCACCCTGCGTCATCTGGGGGGGGTCCAGCCGCCCAGCCCCCCCCCCCGGCCCACAGCTTGGAGGCATTGAAGGGCAGCCCCCCCCCCCCAACCCCCAGCCTGGAGCTGTTGGGGGGCTCAGGGCCACGTTTCCCATCGGGGAGGGGGGGCAGGACCCCCCCATGGAGCACCAAACACCCATGCACAGCCCGGGGGGAGCCCAATCTTGTTGGGGGGGGGGGGCACAGCCTGGCTGCCTTTGTTCCTGTGGGCGATACCCAAATCGCGGCTCCTCTTTGTCTGCAGCCCCATATTGCCGGGGGGGTCGGGGGGGGGGGAGCCCCAGCCCCTCCCTGCTCCCTGCCCTGGTTTAGCAGCACCCCAAAAACACTGGGGGGGGGGGAGAGAGGGGGGGCAGAGCGTGGGGCAGGAGGGTGGCGGGGACGTGGGAACAGGGACCTGGAGCTGCCCAAAAATCCGCATAATGCGGGAAATGCAGAGAAAAAATGTGATTTCTCAGCGCGGGGGGGGGCGATGCTGGCAGCTCCACCTGCAGCAGCTGGGGCCAGCCCCCCCCGTACCCCACCCCGGCCACTGCAGGGACCGCTGGGGTTGGGTGGGGGGGCAGTGGCACGGCGGGGGGGGGCTCGGGGGGGCGAGCAGCCGATGTCCCAGCTGTGCCCCCCCCCCCACACCAGCTGCCGCAGAGCAGCTGCCACTTGGTGCCTGGGAACGGTCCCAGGACCCCCCCCCCCCCCTCGGTGGCCCCCCCCGGGGGTGGCGCACAAAGAGGCGGCTGGGAGGGAGCGGGGACGGGCACGGGGCCACGGCGGCACCGGGGGCCGGGACGTGGCTGGGAACCAGGGCACTGGGGCACGGCCGGGAATGGGGACGGGGACAGGGACGGGATGGGGACAGGGACACCCAGGGCTGGGGACAAAGCCGTGGCCACCCCCATAGCTGGGCACCGGGACCCGGGGACACCCGGTTGGTGGCACCGGGGACGGGACCGGGACCAGGGCACGGCGGAAAATGCCCCCCCCGGGGCAGGGCCGGGGCACTGCAGGACAGGACCGGGACCAGGAGGGGGGGGGGGGCAGCGTCGCGACGAGCCGTGCTGCCCCCCCCTTGTCCCCCCCCCCCCGTTCCTGCAGCCCCCGGCCCCCCCGCCCCGAGCCCCCCCCGCCCCGCCCGGCTTTGTCTGCGGCTCCGGGGGGGTGGGGGGGGGCATTACCTCATCCCCGCGCCGCCAATGGCAGCCGCCACCGCCGCCCCCCCGCCCCGCCCCGAACCCCCCCCCCCCGGTTCCCCCGCCCCTCCCCGGTCCCCCCCGTCCCGTCCCGGCCCTATAAAGCCCCGCGCCCAGCCGCCGGCTCCGCCGCGCCTCTTACATCGACCGCCTCAGCGTCGTGCTGTGAGAAAGCCCCGGAGCCGAGCAGCCGCCATGGTGAGCGCGGGGGGGGGGCCCCGGACCGAGAGGGAGGGGGGGGGGACACCGGAGCCAGGATCGGGATCGGCCCGGGCCGTGCGCGCCCCCGCCGGGGACCCCCGAGCCACCGCCTTTGTTCCCGTTCCTCCCCCCCCACCGAAGCCGGCGGAGCTGCCGAGCCCGTAATGAGCCCCCCCCAGGCAGGACGAGGCCCCCCCCGCCGGTGCTGAGCCCGCTCGGGGCGCGGTCCCCGTTAAACGGGGCAGGACCGGGGCCCTTTGTCCGGTGCTGAGCCCGCTCTGGGTGTGGCTCCCGGTGAACGGGGTGGGATGGGACCCCCCCGGATCCCGTTAAATAGGACAGGATGAGCCCCCCCCCCCGGTGCTGAGCCCGCACTGGGCGTGGCTGCGGTTAAATGAGGCTGGATGGGACCCCCGGGGCCCGTTAAAAGGGGGCTCCCGGTGCTGAGCCCCCCCGGGTGTGGCTCCTGGCAGATGGGTCTCAATAGGAGCCCCCCTGGCTAGGGCTGAGCCCCCCCCTGGGTGTGGCCCCTCTTAAACTGGGTGGGATCCAGCCCCTGGGTGCTGGGGGCAGGATGGGGTCCCCGGTCCTGCCCTGGGTGTGGCCCTGGCTCAATGGGGACCCCCCCGGGGCAGGATGAGCCCCTGGTGCTGAGCCCTCAGCCTGCACGGGCTGTGGCTGCGTCCCCATGGGGGGGGGGCATGGCAGGATGTGACCCTGGGGGCTCCCATCTCCTGCTGGGTGCGGTCACGGCCCCCCAGGGCAGGATGGTGCTGAGCCCCCCGGCTCATCACAGGGTGATCCTGCTTGGTCTGGGCAGAGCAGGATGGGCCCCCCTGGGTGCTGAGCCCCCCCCCTGCACTGGGTGTGGCCATGGTGCTGAGCCCCCTGCAGCCCCCAGAACAATAGGATGGGGCTGGGCAGGACCCGGCCCCATCCTGGCATGGGGTGGCCCCATCCTGCCCTGCCCAGCTCAGCACCAGCCCCTCCGGGGGGCAGCATCCAGCATCCTGGGGGGGGGGCATGGGCTGGGGCTGCAGCTGGAGGGGGGGAATGGGACATGAGTGGGGTACAGCGGGGGGCTCGGCCGGGCCACGGGGGGTGACGCAGCACCACGAATGTCCCCGCAGCGCGAGTGCATCTCCATCCACGTGGGCCAAGCGGGCGTGCAGATCGGCAATGCGTGCTGGGAGCTGTACTGCCTGGAGCACGGCATCCAGCCCGACGGGCAGATGCCCAGCGACAAGACCATCGGCGGGGGGGACGACTCCTTCAACACCTTCTTCAGCGAGACGGGGGCCGGCAAGCACGTGCCCCGGGCCGTCTTCGTGGACCTGGAGCCCACGGTGATCGGTGAGCGTGGGGAGCTGGGGTGGGGGGCGGTGGGTGCCGAAGGGGGTGCCCGGTGCTAACGGGGTGCCCGGTGCTGTCCCGCAGACGAGGTGCGCACGGGGACGTACCGGCAGCTCTTCCACCCCGAGCAGCTGATCACGGGCAAGGAGGATGCGGCCAACAACTACGCGCGGGGGCACTACACCATCGGCAAGGAGATCATCGACCTGGTGCTCGACCGCATCCGCAAGCTGGTATGGCCGGGGGGGCCGCACGGGGGGCGCCGGTGGGTGGTGAGATGAGGACGGAGGCTCCGGTTCTGGGTCTCGCCCTTCCTGCAGGACTAGCCAGGCTGGGTTTAGACTTAATATATTAATTAATGGTAATCCTGCTCTGCAGCGGCTGCCATTGGCTGGCGGCGGGACGTGGCGCAGCCGGGGCGTTGGAGCTGCTCCACAGCGCCGCGTCCCCAGGCGCCCGGCGGTGCTGAGCTCTGCAATTCCTCCTTTGTTCCTCCTCAGCTCTGGCTGCGGCCGCATCCAGCTGCACTCAGCGGCTGTTGGGAGCCCGAGGAGCTGCATGGGGGTGGCAGCAGAGCCATGGGCTGCGTGCCCCCCCCCCCCAAAGCGCTCTGGGGGCAGAGGGGCTTCCCTGGGGGATTCACGCGCGGAGAGTTTCCAACAACAGGAGTCAGGCTCACCCCATTCCTGGTGGCTTCTGCTCTGCTGCTGGAAATCCCCCAAATGTCATCGGGAGAGAACATAAGAGAGGAAGGAATGAGCTCTGCTGCTGCCCAGCTTAATAATGGCCCCCCCACCCCTTTCTCTCCCTCCAGGCTGACCAAGTGCACAGGGCTGCAGGGCTTCCTGGTCTTCCACAGCTTCGGGGGTGGCACCTGGCTCCGGCTTCACCTCCCTGCTCATGGAGCGCCTCTCGGTCGACTACGGCAAGAAGTCCAAGCTGGAGTTCTCCATCTACCCGGCCCCCCAGGTCTCCACAGCCGTGGTGGAGCCCTACAACTCCATCCTCACCACCCACACCACGCTGGAGCACTCCGACTGCGCCTTCATGGTGGACAACGAGGCCATCTACGACATCTGCCGCAGGAACCTGGACATCGAGAGGCCCACCTACACCAACCTCAACCGGTTGATCGGCCAGATCGTGTCCTCCATCACGGCCTCCCTGCGCTTCGATGGGGCCCTCAACGTTGACCTGACCGAGTTCCAGACCAACCTGGTGCCAGTACCCACGCATCCACTTCCCCCTGGCCACCTATGCCCCTGTCATCTCGGCCGAGAAGGCTTACCACGAGCAGCTCTCGGTGGCCGAGATCACCAACGCCTGCTTCGAGCCGGCCAACCAGATGGTGAAGTGCGACCCGCGGCACGGCAAGTACATGGCGTGCTGCCTGCTGTACCGCGGGGACGTGGTGCCCAAGGATGTCAACGCCGCCATTGCCACCATCAAGACCAAGCGCACCATCCAGTTCGTGGACTGGTGCCCGACGGGTTTCAAGGTGGGCATCAACTACCAGCCTCCCACGGTGGTGCCCGGGGGGGACCTGGCCAAGGTGCAGCGTGCTGTGTGCATGCTGAGCAACACCACGGCCATCGCCGAGGCCTGGGCCCGCCTGGATCCACAAGTTCGACCTGATGTACGCCAAGCGTGCCTTCGTGCACTGGTACGTGGGGGAGGGCATGGAGGAGGGGGAGTTCTCGGAGGCCAGGGAGGACATGGCCGCCCTGGAGAAGGATTACGAGGAGGTGGGGGTGGACTCGGTGGAAGGGGAGGGAGAGGAGGAAGGGGAGGAGTATTAAACCTTCACAACGGTGCTGCTCGTACAGGGAACAAACGTAGTTGAAGACCCCCCCAGTGGGTCTGTAGCAGTGGGTGCACTGCTGGCTGTGCTGTTCAATGGTCTGTGAAATGGAAAAGTCTGTCCCGGACCCACCCGTCCTCTCCCGTGGGTCTGAATAAAAAGCATTCCCTGTCCTTGGCTCTGTGTCTGGTGTCTTTCCTCCGTGCCGTGGGGCCGTCACCCCCTGTGCTGGGGGCTGCCCCGAGCCCCCTGCCCCTGGGGGTGCTCCTGGGGGGGGCAGGTTGAGCCCAGCACCCCGCAGCCCCAGCTCCCCCCTTTTTGGGGCTCAGCCCCAGGAGGCAGCTCCGTGCCCCCGAGCTCCCCCCACCATGAGGTGGGGAAGGGAGACGTTGGGGTGTCCAGACATGTCCAAGCTCCGGGCTGGAGATAAAGCTGGGTCACGGCGCAAAGCAGGAGCTGCGGGGGGGGGTCGAGCAGAACAAGGAGCTCATTCAGCGCTTCCCGGCAGCGCTCAGCGTGCCCAGCCTGGGGGGGGGCAAACACCATGGCCCCGATCGTCCCCTTCCTCCCCCTGCCTTTATGGCTGAGCAGTGGGGTGGGTATCAGGGGACATCCCCCAGCTGTGGGGGCAGCACCCAGCTGTGACCCCTTTTGCTGGGTCTGGGGGGGGGCAGAGCTCACCCTCCCCATGGAGAGCAGCACTGGTGCAGCACCCACGGTCCCCCAAACCCGTATCTGGGGAGGGGGCAATGCCAAGGCCCTGACCCCGCCCCCCCCCCCAAAAAAAAGGGCTGTTTCCTACTGCATGTCCTGCAGCAATACAAGGCGAGGAAGGAGAAGGGGGGGCTCTCCTCGCAGAAATATCTGTGCCCCCCCCACCCCAGTCCTGCTTCCCGAGTCATGGCTGAAAATCGCCCCCTGGGGGGGGAGCACCAAATAATTTTCTCCTTTTGCTTCCGGGGGGGGGCTTTGTTTACTTCTTCCATTAAACTGCTCCAAGCACGCAGTGTTTTGTTTTTTTACATCGGATTTTCTTCCCCCCCCCCCCCTCCAGCCCTTTGAGGGCAGCCTGGCAGAGCCGAGCTGCTCCGGGGGGGGGGGGGGTCGAAACCCCCCCTCCCGGCCATGTGAGCAGCAGCGCGGTCCTTGAGGGCAAAAATCCCCCCCCCCGCAGCATCCAAGTGGCTGATGCAAAGCAAAGGGACAGGGTGCCCCCCCCCCGCCTGCTGCTGGGCTGCGGTGTGCCCCCCCCGTTCATATCCCCCCCATGTGCCCCTGCAGCATGGCCAGGGCTGGTAGCAGCAGCCTTTTCGGGGGGGGGGGGGGCACTACTCCTGGGGGCTCCCTGCTGCCCCCCGAGGCTGGCAGAAGCCCGTGGGTGACTTGTGTGACTTGGGGGGGGCACGGGGGGGGGCACCAGGGCCGAGCTGTTTTGCTCCATGAGGGGCTCAGTGCCCCCCCCCGCGCCCCAAATTCTCTCCCTTGGGGCGAGGACCTGCGGGGAGGGGGGGGGCGCGATGCAGCAGCAGCCCCCGGCCCTGCGTGAGCATGTTACCCCCCCGGCCCCCCCCATCACCCCCTCCCGCCCCCCCATCACCCCCCCGCCCCCTCCCATGCTCCTGGCTCCCTACAGGGGGAAATAACGAAGGGGAAGCTGAAGGCGATGCGAAACTCGAGGGGGGGGGGAAGGGCGTGCCGCAGTGCCGGGGGGGGGGCACCCCAGCTCCTGGCCCCCCCCCCGTGCCCCCCCCCTCCCCAAATCCGCCATTTCCCACCCCCGCTTGCCGGCGGCCATGCGGCAGCGCCACGTCAGCGCTGCAATGCGGCCCCTCCGGTGCTCCGGGGGGGGGCCACGGACATGGGGGGGGGGCTCCCGGTTAAGGGGGGGGGCGGCTACCGGGGGGGGGGATACGGTGGAGCAGCGTCTCGCGGAGCTCCGGTTTAGCGCGAACAAATAGCGCCGGGGATTACGGGGGGGGGGGGGGCGGCAGCCTCCATGCTGGGGGGGGGGGGGGGCAGGTTTTGGCTGGGGATAGGGGGAGGGGGCAGGCGCAGAGGCCAGGTCCCATGCCGGGGGGGGGGCGCAGGGGGGCGGCAGGGGGGGGGGTGGAGGTCCAGATGGGGCCGGGGGCCCCCTGTGGGGCGGGGGGGGGGCAGGCGAGGGAAGCCGATTAAAGGCTCTGGGGCTTTGGGGGGGGCGAGGCAGCACGTGCCGCAGGCTCCCCCCCCCTGCGCCCCCTCCCCCCCCCCCCCAGCACTGTCGCAGTTTTCCTCTGCAGCAAAACCGCACCGGGGCGGGCGGGGACTGGCGGGGGGGGGGCGGCAACGGCCACGGTTCCCCCCCCCCAGCACACAGCGGGCAAGGGCAGAGCTGGGGGGGGCCTCCAGGGGCTCTGCAGCCCCCCCCCTCGAGCTCCCACTCCCCCCATAAGCCCCCCTCGGGGGTTGCACCCCCACGGCTGGGGGGGGGGGGGGCAAAGCGCTCGCCCTGCAGCGGGGGGGGGAAGGTGGAGCGCGCCACGCGGCGCAGCCAATCAGCGCTGGGGTTGGCTCGGATGGACGGGCGAGTTGACCAATGGGGGGGGCGATGCGCGGGCGAGGCCCGCCCCCAGGTGCTGTATAAGAGGGTGGCCGGGGGGGGCCCCAGCTCGGTACTTGCGTCGACTCCTTGGTGGTCGGGACGAGTAACAGCCTGCAGCCATGGTACGGGGGGGGGGACATGGGGCTGGGGGGGGGGGGCAGTATGGGGCTGGGGGGGGGGCAGTATGGGGCTGGGGGGGGCAGGAGCAGGGCGAGGATGAGGAGGGTGGGGGCTGAGGGGGTCGGGGAAGGAGTTGGGGGGGTTGCAGATTGGGGGGGCTCTAGATTGGGGGGGTTCTGGGCAGAGCAAAGGCTGGGGGGGGCAGCGGGGGGGGGGGCAGAGAAGGAGTGGGGGGGAAGGGGAACCGCCCTTGGGTTGGGGGTGGGAAGGGGGGGGTAACGCAGGAGGTGGGGGGGGGGGAGAGCAGGGACTAGGGGGCTTGAGTAGGGACTGGGGGGGCAGAAGAAGGGCTGGGGGGGCAAAGCAGGGACTGGGGGGGCTTGAGTGGGACAGGGGAAGGTAGAGGAGGGGTTGGGGTCTTTAACGGGGCGGGGGGGGGGCAGAGCAGGGGCTGGGGGTGCTGCCTGTGCCTGGAGGACCCCTTCGGGAGCAGCACGTGGTGCCAGCCCCCCCATTTCCCCCCCCCATTACCGGGTGGGGGCGGGGCACTGGTTCATTTTTGGCGCCCAGCCCCGACCGTTACCCTTCCCGCGCGCGGGAAGGCGCGGGTGCGCTCCTGCCCCCCCACACCCAGCACCCATCCTTGGGTGGATGGGGGCCCAGCCTCCCCCCTCCCGCGGTACCACAACCCCCAAATCCCATGCTGAGCCCCCCCGCATTGCCAAGGGTTCCCCACATTCCCACCTTTGTCCCAGTTTGCTCCTTGCCCCCAGCTGAATCCAAGCCAAAGGAGACCCCATGGGGCTAATCCTGCCTGGGGCTGCTGGGGGGGGGCCTCCTGTGGTCTCCCCACCACTAAAACCCTAAAACCTGGGCTTAGCCCCCCCCTGGGGCGGGCACCATCTGCCCTGCCGGGGCGGGAGGAATGTGCTGGAGCAGGTGGTGCCGCACTGGGTGCGGCTGGGAATGTGCTGGATCGGGGCGGGGGGGGGGCAAAGGGGGAGGATTGGGGCAGCTGGACCCCCCCCCACCCCCCCCTCCCAGCTGGGTGCTGGTGGCTTCAGCCCTCCCTGGGGGTTTTGGGCCATGCGGTGGCTCGGCGTGTGGTCCCCACCGCCCGCAGCGCCGCAGTCACGTCCGCGCTGCTGCGCAGCCTGCTTCCTCCTCCTCGTCCTCCTCTTCCTCCTCCTCGCCCGGCCTCGCCCTTCCTGCGCTGTGAGGCTGCGAAATGGCCTCCCCAGCCCCTGCCCGCTGCGAGGGCGCACGGCTCAAAAGCAGGATGGAGCCCGCTGCCGGGCTGGCACAGGGACTTGGGAGGTCCTGGGGTGCTGCGCCGGGGCTCGGCTGGGAAATGGTGGCTCTGGTCTGTCCCCAAGCACGTGTCTGACCCCCCCCCCAGCTCGCCACTGTGTTGGTTTTGAGGCTTGGCCACGCGCAGCTAAGCTCTCCGGCTGAGATGAGCTTTCTATGCCCTTTGGAGCTTGGGCACAAAATGGTTGCCCCGTGGTGACGCTCGCCTGCCCCAACCCATGCCGGGTGGCACCGCCGCGCTGCTGCTCCCAGCCCGGGCAGGATTTGTGCCCCCTGCCCATGCTGCTGGGGCTGTGCTGGTGACCGCTCTGCCCCTGCTCTGCCCCGCAGCGCGAGTGCATCTCCATCCACGTGGGCCAAGCGGGCGTGCAGATCGGCAATGCGTGCTGGGAGCTGTACTGCCTGGAGCACGGCATCCAGCCCGACGGGCAGATGCCCAGCGACAAGACCATCGGCGGGGGGGACGACTCCTTCAACACCTTCTTCAGCGAGACGGGGGCCGGCAAGCACGTGCCCCGGGCCGTCTTCGTGGACCTGGAGCCCACGGTGATCGGTGAGAGCGGGGAGTTGGGGTGGGGGGCGGTGGGTGCCGAGGGGGTGCCCGGTGCTAACGGGGTGCCCGGTGCTGTCCCGCAGACGAGGTGCGCACGGGGACGTACCGGCAGCTCTTCCACCCCGAGCAGCTGATCACGGGCAAGGAGGATGCGGCCAACAACTACGCGCGGGGGCACTACACCATCGGCAAGGAGATCATCGACCTGGTGCTCGACCGCATCCGCAAGCTGGTGGGTACAAAGCCTCGGGGGTGCCTGCACCACCGCAGCCTTTTGGGGATGGGGGAAGCCCCCAGAGGAGAGCGAGGAGCTGGGCTGTGCCTTGAGGTCTGGGTGCGTTTAACCCCTTGTGGGTTCTCCCAGTGCCAGGTGATGGCTCCAGGTAGTGCCAGTGCTCGGGCACTGCAGATGTGTCACTGCTGCCAGCCCTGGACTTGGCCCCGGGGTGGCCGTGGCAGGGCATGCGACAGCCGCCTTCTGCCCTTGGGGAACTTCACTTTCATTCTGGGTTGGGTCATGTGAGGCTTCCCCTTGACCCGGACTCTGATCCTACTTTACTGACTGCTCGCCAGCAGTCAGTGCTGAGGGTTTAACTCCCACGGGGGAGGCTCGTGCCTGCCCTCTGTACATGGAGGGCAGTGCTGATGTTGGCTGCTGCAAGGCTCCTGCCCGTGTGCCTCCAGGGAATGCTGGCTCTAGGAGCCTCCATGTGCTCTATAAAGCACAGCCCCAGGCAGCCGTGTGCAGGTTATACTGGGCACGGTGCTGGCTGCTGTGTGTCCCCAGGGTCCTCTGCTCAGGCAGACCCTGCCAGCGCGCGCAGCCTCTGCTTGTGTTCCTGATCTGAGATGCCTCCAAGGCTTGAGATAACAGGGCTCAACGCTTTCCTTCCTGGACAAATCGGGAGTAGCTTAAAGTCACAAAAACTGGTACTGATGTCTTGTCTTCTCTTTTTCTCTTCCCCCAGGCTGACCAATGCACAGGGCTGCAGGGCTTCCTGGTCTTCCACAGCTTCGGGGGCGGCACCGGCTCCGGCTTCACCTCCCTGCTCATGGAGCGCCTCTCAGTTGACTACGGCAAGAAGTCCAAGCTGGAGTTCTCCATCTACCCGGCCCCCCAGGTGTCCACTGCCGTGGTGGAGCCCTACAACTCCATCCTCACCACCCACACCACGCTGGAGCACTCCGACTGCGCCTTCATGGTGGACAACGAGGCCATCTACGACATCTGCCGCAGGAACCTGGACATCGAGAGGCCCACCTACACCAACCTCAACCGCCTCATTAGCCAGATCGTGTCCTCCATCACAGCCTCCCTGCGCTTCGATGGGGCCCTCAACGTTGACCTGACCGAGTTCCAGACCAACCTGGTGCCGTACCCGCGCATCCACTTCCCCCTGGCCACCTACGCCCCCGTCATCTCAGCAGAGAAGGCTTACCACGAGCAGCTCTCAGTGGCCGAGATCACCAACGCCTGCTTTGAGCCGGCCAACCAGATGGTGAAGTGCGACCCGCGGCACGGCAAGTACATGGCGTGCTGCCTGCTGTACCGCGGGGACGTGGTGCCCAAGGATGTCAACGCCGCCATCGCCACCATCAAAACCAAGCGTAGCATCCAGTTCGTGGACTGGTGCCCGACGGGTTTCAAGGTGGGCATCAACTACCAGCCTCCCACGGTGGTGCCCGGGGGGGACCTGGCCAAGGTGCAGCGTGCTGTGTGCATGCTGAGCAACACCACGGCCATCGCCGAGGCCTGGGCCCGCCTGGACCACAAGTTCGACCTGATGTACGCCAAGCGTGCCTTCGTGCACTGGTACGTGGGGGAGGGCATGGAGGAGGGGGAGTTCTCGGAGGCCAGGGAGGACATGGCCGCCCTGGAGAAGGATTATGAGGAGGTGGGGGTGGACTCGGTGGAAGGGGAGGGAGAGGAGGAAGGGGAGGAGTACTAAAGGCTGGGTTCCTTCTGTCGCTGTAGCATGTCCACAAAGTGTCAGCTTCAAACACTTCAGCTTTCTTGTGCACCAGGTGTGGGTCTGGGTACCGGCCCTGGCTAGAAGGATGCGCTGCTCTGGCTAAGCGCTCACTCCAATGTGATCCTGTCTGTTTTACATGTGTCTGCACCATGTCTGTGAATAAAAGGCTTTAAGAAAAGCTGCCTCTGTGTTGGATACAAATGCCTCTGGTTCAGCCCCTGCGGCTGCCCGGCCCCAGCCCCGTGGGAACGCGCTGTCCCCATTGTCCCTGCCCAATGAGATGACCAGGGGGGAGGGGGGGAGGGGGTGGTGCTCCTGCTGGAGCTGGCTCTGATTTCCCCTGCTCTGGGGGGAGAATTTCCCACTCCCTCGTGTTTAGAGGGTGGTGGGTGCTGGTTCTGCTGCTCCGGGGGGGACTTTAGGGAGCTACTGGGGGCCAAGACCCCGATGGGAGGAGGAGCCGTTCCCTTGCTGGGGGCCTCACAGGGGATTCTCTGCTTCCCCCTGCCCTGCCCGGGAGGGATACAGACGGATTAACCCGCGGATTAGCCCTGCCCGGGGGATCAACTCTGGCCCCCGCGCTAATCCCGGCTTCCTGCCCCCGGGGGGAGGGGGCTGGGGGCGTCCGGCGGGGCCGTGGGAGCTGCGGGTGGGAACGCGGCGGCGCCTCCAGCCAATGGGAGCCGCCCGCTCAGCCCCCGGCCAATGAGCGGCGCCTCATTCAAAGCCGGCAGCCAATGGGGGCGGGGGCCGGGCCCTTTGAGGCGGCAGCCGAGCGGATACATTGTAGCGAGCGCCGGATGCGGGGGGCGGGGCCGGGGGCGGGGCCTCGCCTCCTGGTGCCGCGGGCGGCCCCGCTCGGCTCGGCTCAGCCCCGCGCTGTGCCCGGATCCAGCCCGGCCCGGCCCCGAGCTTTGCCCTGACCCGGCTCGGCTCAGCCCTGTGCTGTGTCTGGATCCGGCTCGGCTCGGCCCGGCCCGGCCCGGCTCGGCTCGGCTCAGCCCCGCCATCTGTCCTGACCCGGCTCGGCTCGGCCCGGCCCTGCCCTGTGTCCGGATTCGGCCCGGCTCCCCCCTGCGCTTTGTCCTGCCCCGGCTCGGCTCGGCACGGCCATGCTGGCCGCCCCATGGCCCCTGTGGAGCACGACGCGCTGGCCGTGCGGGAGCAGCTTTTCCACGAACGGGTCCGCGAATGCATCGTGAGTGCGGGGCGCGGGCGGTGGGGAGGGGGCGTCCTGCGGGGCTGGGGTCCTGCTGGAAGGGGGGGGGGGGGGGGGCTGGGAACCTGCACACCCCCCACCGGGGCAGCTGCGGTGCCAGAGCCGCCGGGGCTGAGCCCCACGCCCGGTCCTTATCGGTGCCAGAGCCGCGCCGTGCTGCCGTGCGCCCCGCTGATAGCCCGGCTCGGCTCGGCCCGGGGGGCGTGGGGAGCCTGGCCCGGGCAGAGTGGGACCCCTCGGCCCGGCAAGAGCCCCCCCTGCCTCTGAGCACAGACAGGGCTCGCTCCAATCTCCCCTCCCAAAGGGATGGGGGGGGGGCCATGGGATGCAAGTGGGATGGGACATGATCTCTGGTCCCTACCTTCCCCTGGAGATCTGGGGTCCTGCAGTGCCCCAGCACCTCCTATACCCGCAGGGAGTCCCCAGCCGTGGGGACTGCTGGGTTGGGTACAAAGCTGGGTTGGGTACCCGCTTCTGGGTCGGTGGAGCAGTGTCAGAGTTGTGCCAGACTCAGGCCAGGTGCCCCTGTCCCTGCCTCAGGGTGCTCAGCACCAATGTCAGAGGGCAGGGGCCCTGCAGAGCCCCCCAGGGCTGGGGACACTGGAGGGGAGTAGCTGGGGCTGCTGCTCTGGTCCTGCTTCATGGGGCAGGGATGCGGGGGGACCACATGTTCTGGCCCTGACATCTTCCAAGGGTCCCTGGGATGCTGCATGAGGGGTGACCAGAGCCAAGCGTCACTGCCCTGGAGCTCCCCAGTCCTCCACCCTGCTGAGCTGCCTCTGCCCCGGGAACTCCTGGCTCAGCACAGCCAGCGTGGAGCTCACTCGACCTTTCAGACTTTCCCGAGCCACGTTGTGGAGCTCTGCCTCACTCCTGCCCCGTGGTTGCGTCAGCGCCGCTGGGGAGCCCTTCCCCTGCACAGGGATGGAGCAGGGACACCGCTCCCCTACCCGCCCTGTCCCGGGCCTCCTTGGGGGCCTCCTCACGAGGCCCCTTTCTTGCACCCTTTCTGGGTGCAGGTATTTGGGGTCCCTTGGTCAAGCAGAGCTTTCCACTTTGGGATGCAGACCATGGGCAGAAGGAAACACACAGCTTGCGGTTCTTCCCTGGTGGGAGCAGGGACTGGAGACCACCCTTGGGGGGCTCCGGGGGCTTCCTGCCACCCCACTGGGCATCCCCCCACCCCTGGGACTCCCGGCCAAGCCTCCAGCACGAGGGAGGTGCCAGGGCAGCTCCAGTCCACCCATGCCAGGGCGGTAGATTCGGGCGACCTTTCCCTATGCAGCCGCGTACCCACAGGGATGAAAGGTCGCTGTGTTCCTCGAACATCGCCTGCTCTGGCTGGGCCTCGGCATGCTGGCGGGGGCGGGGGGGGGGGGACGGACAGACGCTGCAGCCGGCCTTGGCACCTGGCCCAAAGCTGCTCCCACAGCCCCGCTGGGTGCTGGTGCCAGCAGGATGAGGGCTGTGGGGTTTTGGGTCTGAGCTGTGGGCAGCTCTGTTAGCGCAGGCTGCCCTGGAATTGTTGCCTGTGCTCGCCCCATGCTCCCAAGCCCTGTGGGACCTCCTGGCAGCTCGCAAGCACCCAGTGGGTGAGCCCTGGGTGCAGCCCCCGTGTGTGGGTAGGGCCGAGCACACGTGTGGGGTGAGTGAACAGGGCCAGGACTGGAAAAACAAATAGGGTGGAGCTGGCAGGTCCCAGTGGCAGAGCCCAGGGTGGGAGCGCTGCCCTCTGGGTCCACCGGTGCTGCCCACACTGCTCTGCCCACAGATCTGCGCCCTGCTCTTCGCCAGCCTCTACATCCTCTGCCACTTCATCATAACCCACTTCAAGAAGCAGACGGACTTTGCGGCAGGTAGGGGAGGCTCGATTTGGCTGCCACCCCCCTGAGATGCTCCTCCCCTGCTTTCTGCCTCCCTCGGCAGCCCCAGTCCCACCCCAACCCACGTTCCTGGGGCATCCGTCCCTATGGGGAATCCCCCAGGGCTGCTATGGAAGGGGAGCAGGGTCCCAACTCCCTCGGGAGCACTGCTGGGCTTTGCAGCTCTGTTTTTGGGGAGGATGTTTGGGGGGGAGAGCAGGGAGTCATCCTGGCGGTTTGTTCCTCCGCAGTTCACGATGACGAGGACGCTGCTGTCAACAGGATTGCGTAAGTTCCTCCCCTGTCCCGCTCCTGCTCAGCCACTTCCCTCTCCCTGCCCGGCCGGGACACGGCGTTCCCCAGCTCCATGGGGGTCAGTGACCCCCCCAGGGGGTTGTGGCCGGGCTGTGACATCCACGCAGGGGCTGGAACTGACGCTTGTCCCTCCTGCAGGCTGGGGATGTGCACCTTCACCCTGGCCGTGGCGCTGGGTGCCGTGCTCCTGCTCCCCTTCTCCATCATCAGCAACGAGGTGCTGCTCTCCTTCCCCCACAACTACTACATCCAGTGGCTGAACGGGTCCCTCATCCATGGTGGGTGCACGTAGGGTGGCCACGGGGTGCTGAGGGCTGTGGATTGGGGCTGCCCCCAGCGGGAGCTCACCCTATTCTGTCCCTCCCAGGCCTCTGGAACTTGGTCTTCCTCTTCTCCAACATGTCCCTTGTCTTCCTCATGCCCTTCGCGTACTTCTTCACTGAATCGGAGGGCTTTGCGGGGTCCAAGAAGGTACGTGGCCCCACGGGGCCTGTCCCCCACCCTGTGTCCCTCTCCCTGGCTTGCTGCTGATCCCGTTCCCTCAGGGCATCATGGCCAGGGTGTATGAGACATCGGTGGTGCTGCTGCTGCTGACGCTGCTGGTGCTGGGCATGGTCTGGGTGGCCTCTGCCATCGTCGGCAACAACGCGGCCAGTCGCCAGTCGCTCTACGGTGGGTGCTGCCAGGGCTCGGGGGTCTGTGCTGCTGGGGCAGGATGGGGCCCCTGGTGCTGAAAGGGGCAGGGGGAGGGCTGCCCTAGAGGCCTGCTGCATCCTGCCCCCTCTCTCCGCAGACCTCTGGGAGTACTACCTGCCCTACCTCTACTCCTGCATCTCGCTCTTCGGCGTGCTGCTCCTGCTGCGTAAGTCCGGGTCCTGCAGGGTCACTCCCTGGCATGGTGGGGGCAGCTCAGGACCCTTCTGGTGGCCCAGGAAGTGGTAGGGTGCCGGGGCTCACCCTCTCCTCTCACCCACAGTGTGCACTCCATTTGGCCTCTCCACCATGTTCACCGTCACGGGGAAGCTGCTGGTGAAACCCCGGGTAAGGTGCCCCCCCCCGTGAGGCCCCACCTGGGGTCTTGGTGTCCCTGAGCTGTGGGGCTGTCTGGCCCCCCAGCTCCCGGGGTGTCACTTGTGTCCCCTGCTCATGGCTCCGGGCCTGTCCCCAGCTCCTGGAAGACCTGGACGAGCAGCTGAGCTGCACGAGGTTCGAGGAAGCCGCGGTGTCCCGCAGGATCGCGTCCGGTGGGTGCTCAGCGCAGGCTGGGGAGGTGCCTTGGGGTGCCCAGGGACCCCAATCCCTCAGCATGTGGGGAGTGAGCCCCTCGGTGTCTCCCCCTGCAGGCAAAACTTCCTGCTGGCTGAACCTGAACGTGGGGCTGCTGCGGGAGCAGCTCCTCGCCATCCAGAGCAAAAGGTGGAAGCTGGGTAAGGAACTGGGGCGACCGGAGCTGGGCACTGGGAGCGCTGGGAGCACTGGTTCTCTGGGAACCTGCGCCCCAAAGAGAGAGGGATGGGGGTGCCGTGGGGCAGGGGCTGTAACATCCTCCCCGCAGAGCGGCGGCACCGAGCGTCACCCTGGCAGAGGAACCTGGGCTACCCCCTGGCCATGCTGGGCCTCCTGGCGCTGACAGTAAGTGTCCCTGGCCGGGTCCCCGCCTTGTCCCTGTCCCCTTGTGTGTCACAGGGCCCCGCAGACACCCTGACCCCCTTCTCCTCCTCCTCCTTCTCTTCCCAGGGGATCTCGGTGCTCATCGTCTGCTTCCACGTCCTGGAGCTGTTGCTGGACGATGCCGCGATGCCGCGGGGTATCCAGGTACCTGGGGGGGGGGGAAAGGGGACAGCGAGGAGCCCCTTCTGCCGGGCTTGTTCCCACAAAGAGCCTCCTGCCCCGCAGGATGCGCCCCTGGGCCAGGTCTCCTTCTCCATCTTCGGCACCTTCGGAGCTGCCCTGCAGGTCGTCCTCATCTTGTATCCTTCACACGGGCACCGGTGGCTGTCCCCTGCGCTGTCCCCTGTGCCACCCCCTCTGCCACCCCCTCTGTCCTCTCCTTAACGCCCCCCTCGCAGCTACCTGATGCTCTCCTCCGTCGTGGGCTTCTACAGCTCCCCCCTCTTCACCCGGCTGCTCCCTGAGAGGCAGGACACCCCCCTCACCAAGGTGAGAGCCCCCCCCAGGTGTTGCGTGGCTGTCCCCGTGTCCTTGTGCACTGTGCGGCGTCCCCACGCGAGGGCACCACGCGTCCCTCCGGCTCCCCCTGCATCCAGCACGGCCCCGGGAGCAGGTTCAGGACCGTGGGGCTGTGCCGCGGCTCCTTCAAATTCTCCTTTTTTTTCCCCCGCAGATCATCGGGAACTGCGTGTCCTTGCTGGTGCTCAGCTCTGCCCTGCCCGTCTTCTCCAGGACGCTGGGTGAGATGCACTGGGGCTGGGGCTGGGACTGGGGCAGCCCCCCGGGGCCGGCATGCCCTGACCCCCCCACCCCCTGTCATGCAGGGATCACCCGCTTTGACCTCCTGGGGGATTTTGGCCGCTTCAACTGGCTGGGGAACTTCTACATCGTCTTCCTCTACAACATGGGCTTTGCGGCGCTCACCACGCTGTGCCTGGTGAAGAAGGTGACCTGGGCCGTGCAGGAGGAGCTGCTCCGCGCCTTCGGTGAGGACGGGGACGGGGGGGACGTGGGACAAGGCGCTGGGGCCGTCCCCTGCCTGCCTCTCACCCTCTCCCTCTGCACCCAGGTCTGCACAAGCTGCCGCTGCCCGTGCCCCGCTCCCGGCCCCTGGGTGAGCGCTGCTAGGGCTGGGGGCACGAGGCTGTCCCACCCCCTCCCCGAGAACGGCCACGGCGCTGGTCCCGATGCCGCTGGGTGCGTTGTGGATGCTGGAGACCCCCCCAGGAGGAGCTGAGCCTCCAGGAGGGGGCCTGGCTGTGCCCCCCCCGCAGCCCCATCTCAGTCTGTTGCGCTACTGAGCCTCGGCCTCGAGCCATGCCCCTATCAGGGGGCTGCAGCCCCCGGGGCTGTGCTGGCTGCAGCCCCCCCCCTCTTTTATATACCTCGTGGGGCCGGGCCTTTTGCCCCCCCCCGCCCCAGTGCTGCCCTCTTGGAGTTTGTGTGGTTTTCAATGTCTCCCCCCTCCCCAGGCATCCCTCTTAACACTAACGGGGGGGGGGCCCCATGCCCCCTGGTCCCAGTCACTCCGCACCCTGTCCCCCTTGTTGCTCTGGGGGCTGCCAGGGGGCGCTGGTTGTCCCCCTTCCCCCCCCCAAGAAGGAGCAGGGCTGGGGCAGGGCCCCCCCCAGCAGCTGTGTGATGAGTTGGTCAGGTCTCTGTTACCACGTTACTTGTTTGGAGCAATAAACAAACTCTTTTTTTTTTTTTTTTTAATATATATAGAATATTTTCACGCTACATGGCTTGGTTCCACCTCAGGGCAGGGCTTGGGGGGGGGGGGGCTCAGGGCAGGGATTAGAGTTCCTATGGGGGGGGCTCTGCTCCTGCCCTCTCCCTGGGGGCCGTAATTAACCCTCTTCCTGGCTGTGGCTAACGAGCCCACTCCAGGAAGGGCTGAAGATGAGGGCTGCTCCTGGCCCCGGTTCCTGGTGCTGATAGCCCCAGTCCTAAATGGGGGGGGGCAGCACCGGGTGGCTTTTTTGGGGTGTGGGAAGGTGGGGGCTGAGCTGCTCTGAGCCCATCTGCCTCCACCTCAGGGTCTGGGGGGACTCTGACCCCTCCGTGGCTGAGGGAGGGGGGCTCACGGAAGCTGCCCAGGAACAGGCCCCCCACCCATCCTGCCCGGGCTGGGGCTGCGCCAGGCTGCCCCCCCCCCCCCCGTGCATAGGGGGGGCCCTTGCCCCCCCCCCTCAACCCCTCCCCGAACCAGGGCTGAGCAGGAAGCACAGGAAACTGGGTTTATATAGAAGGAAATGAGGCCATCGGTGCCCGCGATTTCCCTGCGCCCTGCTCCCCTCCCGGTCACCCTGGGCTGGCACGGGGGCTGCGGGGGGGCTGGGAGCCGGGCCCCAGCCCCCCCTCCCAGCCTGCCACTGCCTCCTGCCCTCACCCTGGCTCCTTGGCACCCTTGGGTGCCTCCCTGTCGTGGCTTGGGGTGCTCTTGGGGAGGGGGCCACGGGCGGCTCCCTGGGGTGCCGGGAGGGGGGGGGGGGGACACCCGGGGCTCGTAGGGGCCGTCCCGGGCAGCGCAGCCCCGGCGGGGGCGGCCCCGGGGGATGTGGCCGCCGCTGCCGCCGCTCCCGGGGGCCGGGCTCCGAGGCGGGGCCGGAGGGACCCGGCGGCGCTGCCCAGTGCCGGAGCCGAGCGGGTGCAGGTGGGGGGCACCCAGCCGGGGCCGCCCGACACGGCCCGGGGCGGCTGCGGGCAGCCCGGTACCGGGGGCAGCGCCAGGAGCGGGTACCGGTACCGGGGGACGGCAGCAAACGGGGGAGAAGTGGGGAGAGGCAGGAATTGGGGCTCGGTACCGGCGGCTCTGCCAGGGGGTGGGGGAGCTGCCGGTACCGGCGGGGCAGCCGTAGGGTAACGGGCGGCTCCGGTGCCAGGGGGTAGGCGACGGGAGAAACGGTCCCGGGAACGCGGCGCGGTGCCGGGAAGCGGGGACCCGGTCCCGGAGGGCAGTGACAGGCGAGGGGAGCGGGACCGGCACCGGATAAAGCGGCGAGATAAAGAAAAAGGGGGGGGGGGGGGCCGGTACCGGAGCGCAGGACCCAGACGAGGCGGGGGGGGGGGACCGGAATCGGGGCACGGTGCCAGGAGCGGGGAGAGGTCCCGGTGCCGGGGCGGTGCCAAGAGCGGGGCGGCCGGGGCCGGGCCAGTGCCAGGAGCGCGGTGCCCGGGACCGGTTCCCGGTGCCCGTCCCGGGGCCGCAGCGGTAGGAGGAGGGGGCTTTTCCCGTCGGGGACCCCCCCGGGAGCAGGGTGCAGCGCCAGGAGAGGGGGTGCCGGGTCCGTGGGCGCGGGTGGGAAACGCTCCGGTGCCCGGGCGCTCCGAGTGGGTGGTGGCGGCCCCGGGGGGGGGGGTGCGGGGGTGCTTGGGGAGGGGTTGTCACTCGTCCCGGGTGGCCGCGGGTCCCGGAGCGGCGACGGGCCCGTGGGTGTGAGAAGGAAACGCCGCCGACCCGCCCCTGGCACCGGGAGCCGCTAAAAGCCCCGGGGCCGCCGCGCCGGTGCCATGCCCGCCCCGGCCGCCCGTGCCCCCGGTGACTGAAGCGGGGGCCGCGGAGGCAGCGGGGCCCGGCGGAGCTCGGCGGCCGGGATGCCCCGGTGCAGCCGGTTCGCCCTCGGCCTCCTCGGCCTCGCCGCTTTCCTGCTGGCCTCTCCGGTGCTGGGCTGCGGGCCGGGCCGGGGGCCGGTGGGGCGGCGGCGGTTCGGGCGGCGGCAGCTCTCGCCGCTGCTCTACAAGCAGTTCGTGCCCAACGTGCCCGAGCAGACGCTGGGGGCGAGCGGGAAGGCGGAGGGGAAAGTCCTGCGGGGCTCGGAGCGCTTCAGGGAGCTGGTGCCCAACTACAACCCCGACATCATCTTCAAGGACGAGGAGAACACGGGGGCGGACCGGCTCATGACCGAGGTGGGGGCTGAGCCCGGGACGGTCCGGCCGCGCTCCCCGGGGCGCGGGGGCGGCGGGGAGGAGGCGGGAGGGAGCGCCCCGACCGGCCCCCGGTGGCACCGACCGGCCCCCGGTAGCCCCGACCGTTCCCCGGCGGCCCCGACCCTCCCGGGGCGCGGGGTCCCCTCCCCGGCTTCTCCCGGAGCTTCCCCCCGGGCCCCGGTACCGGTGGCACCGGGTGGGCCGATGCGGGGATTAATCCCCGCGGCGGGGATTAACGGGGAGGGGGCGTCGGGGGCTGCCGGGGATCCCGGGGCTGCCGCTCCCGGTCCGCGGAGCCGCCCCTGCCCGGCCCCGGGGCGGGCCAACGGGGAGGGGGCGGCCCCGGTAGACGTCTCCCGGGGGTCCGGGGCTGCGCCTCGTCCCGCCGGGATGCTCGCCGTTGCCATGGCGAAGGGCGGCTCCGCGGTCGCCATGGAGACGGGGGATGCTGCGAGTGGTCCAGGCAGCGCCGCGGCTCCCTCGGCCCGGGGCGGCGGGGGCGGCGGAGCCGGGGCGGCGGAGCCCGGCGGGCCGCGGGCACGGAGCCGGCCCGGGGTGCGGGCGGCTGAAAGGGGCCTTTGTGGCCGTGCCGGCATTCCCGGAGCCTGAGGTCAGAGCCGGGCTGGAAGGCGCCTATTGTCGCCGGGCCGGGCCGGGCCGGGCCGGGTGCATTCCTACCCCCCCGTCGCATGCCGGGCCCCCCCCCGGGCCGGGCAGCCCCGGGACCGGGCCCCGCACTCCCGCCCCCGCTGCCCCACCGCTCCCGGGAGCGGCTTTGTTGCACGGGGAACCGGGGGGCACCGGGGCACGGAGGGACGCCGCGACCTCGCCGGCTGCTGGGGCGGATGGGAGCGGCCTCCATCCCCTGCGCCCCTCATGGGCACCGCCCGAGCCCCCCCCCGCTGCCCCCCTCAGCTCGTGGGACCCCCCCCCCCCCCGTGCCCCTGCAGAGCCCTGCTCTCTGCAGCGTGGGAGCTGCACGCATCCTGCCCTGCTCTGGCAGGCGCTGAGCCCCCCCCCGGTGCTGCTGCAGGACGTGGGGCTGGTTCTGCTCGGCTGCACCCCCCAGCTCTGCCCCGTGCCCCCCCCCCACGGCCAGGTTAATCAGTCACAGCCATGGCCAAGGGGAAGGTGACACCCGGCACCGTCCCGTGCCCTTTCCGCCTGACTGCCCGGGCTCCCCTGCAGGACCCTGGGGCACGTTAACCTTCAACCTGCACCATTCTGGGGGGGGCAGCTCAACTGTGCCCCTCTGCAGGCTGAGGAGGGGTCCCATCTGCCCCCCCCCAGCCAGCAACCCCTTCGGGCTGCCCCCTTCCAAACCCCCACAGCCTCCCAGTGTCCGCCTGTCCATCCACACTCAGGATACCCCAGGTAGGGCTGCGGGTGCCACGGGGGGGGGGGTCAGGACTGACCCTGGTGCTTGTCCCGTGTTCCCCCCCCCCGCCCCGATCCAGCGCTGCAAAGAGCGGGTGAACTCGTTAGCCATCGCGGTGATGAACATGTGGCCGGGGGTGAAGCTGCGGGTGACGGAGGGCTGGGACGAGGACGGGCACCACCTCCCCGACTCGCTGCACTACGAGGGCCGGGCGCTGGACATCACCACCTCCGACCGCGACCGCCACAAGTACGGCATGCTGGCACGCCTGGCCGTGGAGGCCGGCTTCGACTGGGTCTACTACGAGTCCAAGGCGCACATCCACGTCTCCGTCAGAGCAGGTACAGCACCACGGGGCTGCCAGGAGGCTGCCTTCCCCCTCAGCACCCCAACCTGTTGCCCCCCAACACCCTCTGCCCTCCGTTTCCATCCCAGGGGGGTGTGGGATGTAGCCCCCAGCCTGTCCCAGCTCCATTCAGCCACCAGCTTGGCAAAAAATCCTATTCCTCCCCACCCCAAAGTGGCACGGACAGAGCTGTCCCCAGGGCTCGCCTCCCATGGGGGCACAAAGTATGGTGGTGGGGGGGTTTAAGACACTTTGGATGTGCCCCCCCCCCCTAGCCCCGCGGCCGCTCCGGCCAGCAGCCCTGGTCCAGGCCAGAAGTGACAATCGACAGAAAGTGAAAGTGGCCGCAAATGTCACCGTCCCCAGCGGCAGGGCCAGGCGGAACAAAGGGCATCAGTGCGGGCCGGACAAAGGGGCCCTGCAGCACCCGCTCAGCCTGGATCCTGCTCACAGGAACCACGGGGGGGGGGGTGTTCGGAAAATATCCGCTTTGTTTCGGGAGGGGGGGGAGATTTCGGGTCCGGTCAGAGCAGCTCCGCTCGGGGCCTTTTCCCTTCTGCTGCTCCCCCCCCAGGTGGCCGCGGGGACCCACCGGTGGCGTTCTCCACCCTCGCAGATAATTCCCTGGCCGTGCGCACCGGCGGCTGCTTCCCGGGCCACGCGATGGTGACGCTGCGGAGCGGCGAGCGCCGGGGTTTGGCCGACCTGCGCCGGGGCGACTGGGTGCTGGGTGCCGAGCCCGGCGGGCGCCTGGTGCCCACCGAGGTGCTGCTCTTCCTCCACCGCGACCTGGGCCAACGCGCCTCCTTCGTGGCCATCGAGACGGCCAGCCCGGCTCGCCGGCTGCTCCTCACCCCGTCCCACCTCGTCTTCGCTGCCCGCGGGGCCGCCAACGGCTCGGCCGCCTTCCTGCCCGTCTTCGCTCGCCGCCTGCGCCCGGGGGACGCGGTGCTGGCTCAGGGGGCTGGCGGGCAGGGGCTGCGCCCCGCGCGCGTGCTGAGGGTCTCGCGGGAGGAAGGCGTGGGGGTCTTCGCCCCCCTCACCTCCCACGGGACCCTGCTGGTCAACGGGGTGCTGGCATCCTGCTACGCCGTCCTGGAGAGCCACCGCTGGGCCCACCGCGCCTTCGCCCCCCTGCGCCTCTTCCACGGGCTCCTCTCGCTGCTGCCTGCCCGCGCCGAGGGGGGCAACGGGACGGCACCGGAGGCGGGCGTGCACTGGTACTCGCGCCTGCTCTACCGCCTGGCCTGGGGGGTGCTGGGCCACGAGGCTGCGCAGGCGTAGAGCCCCCCCCCCAACCTGCAGGGCTCATGCAGGAGCACCAGGACCAGCGCCAGACCCCTCGCACCCATGGGTGCCAAGGAGGAGGTGTGGGGGCCCCCCAGGGATGTTGGGTGCCCCTTGGCTGGGCACTGCTTGGGGTGAAGAGGGGGGGCATGGTGCAGGGAGCGGGGCTCAGCCCCCTCCCATGTTCTGGGGGCCACCCCACAGCACTGCTGGGGGGCGTTAGGTGGCCCCCGTGCCCCAGCCCCCCCCCCCCCCCCCCGTGTGCTCCCCCCGTATTTATTGCTTTATTAACCGCTGCGCCTGGGGACTGGGGCACTGCCCCTGGAGCTGAGAGGTGTCCCCATCACCCGGAGTGTCCCCATCACCTGCGGTGTCCCCGTTACCCCCGGTATCCCTGTCACCTATGGTGTCCCCAACACCTACGGTGTCCCCTTCAGCTGCGGTGTCCCCACCACCCGTGGTGTCCCTGTCACCCACAATGTCCCCGTCCCCCAACGTTGTCCCCACACCGCTCGGGGCTGCAGGGCAGGGAGGGGGCCCAGCTCTAACCCGCGCTAACCGCTAACCCGCCCTGCTTGAGAGTTTTATTTTTCTATTTATAAATGTAATATAAACGTCCTCCGGCCAGCCCCCCCACCCCACCCCCAGACCCCCATCGGGGGGCAGGGGGGGCGAGCGTGCTTTTAACCACTTCTGGCCCCCCCCCAAAAAAAGAATAATACTATTTAATTGTTTTCGTAAATAAAGAGAAATCTATGGCCCATGCGGAGCTGTGACTGAGGGGGGGACTGGGGGGGTCCCGGGGATCTCCGGTACCGGGGGGGGGGGGGAGGGAAGGTGGGCGCCCTCCCGCGTGTCCCCCGCAGGTGAGCGCCAACCACGTGGCCGAGCCGCTCTCGGCCTTTTTCATGAATGGAGCCGCGGCCGCCCAGGCGCCTGCGCGCGCGCCGCGCCCCGCCCACCCGCCGCCCGCCGGCCAATGGGAGCGCCGAGCGGGCGGTGTTGTGGTCACGCGGCGCGGGAGCGTAGTGGCGGAGGCCACGCCCCCTTCCCTCCCCTCCCGGCGCGGCGGGCCGCTGATTGCGCTGGGTGCCGCGCCCGCCCGCGCCGCTTTTCCCTCCCCACGCGTGGCGTGGCGGGGGTCGTGCCCCCGGCCCCGGGACCGTCGGGGGCTCCTCGGGGCCCGCCGCGCCGTGGGTCGCTCCGGGGGAGGGGGACGTGAAGGGGCGTGGAGGGGCTCGGTTCAAGGCTCCCACGCGTGACGCCGCGTGGGGTTGCCCCCCCCGGGGTGGTTACCGGTGGCGTGGGGTCCCGCTTAGCCCGCCCCCCCCCCCTCACGGGGCCGTGTCCTCTCGCAGGGTGCTGTGGGTGCTCACCCGGGGGGGGGGGGGGGCACTTCCCGCTCCCACGCGTGGGGGCGGTGATGGGGTCCCCCCCCAGGCCGAAGCTCGCGGGTCGTGGAGGGGAAGTTTGCGGAGCGCCACGACCTCGGGGGGGGGGGACACAAGGTGGGGGGGGGCTGCCAGCTTAGGGACAGCCCCTCCCTGGGGACACGCGTGACAAGAACGGACGTGGCCCCGTGCATCGGCACCCACGGTGGAAGCCCCCCCGGATGGCGGGGCTGGGGGGGGGGGGGCAGCACCCTGGGGTCCTGGCAGGTCCCTGGGGGGGGTGGGCAGCACCCTGGGTCCCGGGGCTGGGGGGGGGGGCAGTACCCTGGGGTCCCTGCAGGTCGCTGGGGGGGTGCCGGGGCTGGGGGGGTCCCCGGGGTTGGGGTGAGCGGGGGGGGGGCTGGGGGCCGCGCTCCCTGCCTGCTAATTGTGGCTAATTAACGCTAATTGCCCAATTAGAGATGGGGGGGGTAGGAACTGGGGTATTGGGGGGGGGGGGATGGGCAGGTGCCGGGCTACGGGGGGGGGGCCCGTGCCCAGGAGCTGCCCCCGGGGTTACCGGGGGGCGCCCCCCAGAGCGGGGCAGCCCCGGGGGCTCCCCGGTGCCGCGGTGACCCCACGGCCACGCGGGGCCGGGACGGAGCCTGCCCCACGCACCCACCCGGGGCGACCCCAGGGAGAAACGGGAAGGGAACCGGGTGCAGAACCGGGAACAGAACCGGGAGCGGGGCCGGGACCCCCCCGGTCCCAGATCCGCGCCCCCCCCCCCCATCTCGCCCGCCCCCTTCCACCCACGTGCGCGCCTCGCGCCCGCCCCGGCAGCGCTGGGGTTAACCCTCGCGGAGGGATCCCTCCCGGCAGCAGCGTGCACTGCGGCCCGCGCCGGCCCCCCCCAGCACCGCAGCGCCGCGCCCTCCGCGCTCCGTCTCCCTCCGCCCGAGCCCCCGCCGACAAAGTAGTGCGGGCGCGGCGGCGGCGGCGGCGGCGCCCCCCCCCACGTCCCCCCCCTCCCCCCCCCCCTTTCCACGTCCCCGTTTCCGTTTCCTTTCTCCCTTTTCCTCCTCCTCCGGCAGCGGCGGCCCCGGTGCGGCGGGCGGGGCGAGCGGCGGGGCCCTACTTTCCTCTGCAAATGGCCGCACCGGGGAGCGCCTCCCGCCCCGCTGCCCCGGCCCCGGCCCCGGAGGCGGCGGCGGCGGCGTAGGGGAGGCCGCGGGTAAGAGAGCGGCGGTGTCGGGACCCCCCCCCCCCCCAATTTTCCCCGGTCGCCCCCCCCCCCCCTCCCTCCCCTCCCGGGGCCGGGCCCCGCGTTTTCCGCTCCCGTTTTCCGCTTCCCCCTTTCCCCCCCCGGAAGGGAAAAGTCTCCCCCCCCACCCCCCCCCCGCCGCCGTTCTCCCGTTTTGTCCCCCCCCCCCAAGGGTTGGGGGGAAAAAGGAGAAAAAAAAAAAAAAAAAAAAAAAAAAAAAGGGAGCCCCCCCCCCCCCCCCCCGGGAGCTTTTCCCCCCCCCCCTTTGTGTGAGCCGGGGGTCGTTGTGTGCCCCCCCCCCAAAAAAAAAAATCCTCCGGTTCCTTCCTGGGGATGCCCGGGCCTGGAAAGGCCTCGGTTTGGCGGGGGGGGGGCCGCCTCCGAGCCGCCGCCGCCTGAGCTGAGAGGAACGGCCCCGGGTAGGCCGCGGGGGGGGGGGGGGGGCCGGGGCCTGGCGGTACCGGGGGTGGGGGGGGGGGCTCGGGGGTACCGGGGAGGGGGTGGGGGGGGAACCGGGAGGGGGTCCGGAGGGGAGCGGGGGGGGTCTCAAGGCGCTGCCCCCCCCCCCCCTCCAAGCACACCGGATCCGGTGCCCGCTGCACGCCGGGGATCTTCCGGGCAGCGCGCGGCCCCCCCCCAAATTCACCGGGGGGGGGAACGGGAACCAGGATTTGACCCCCCCCCACTCCGTGCTGGTAGCACCCGGTGGAGCCCCCCCCCCCCAAATCGCCCCCACCCCGAAAAAACCGGGCCTCGGTGCGCAGCCGCGGTGGGGCCTGAGCGGAGGGGTGGGGGGGGGGCTCGGTTTGGGGTCTCCGGTTCCCCGGTGGGGGGGGTGGGGGGGGCCGCTATGGAGCTGGGGGGGGGTCCGTACCCAACCGTGCCCCCCCCTTCCTCCGGTTCCCGGGGTCGTGCTCCCGGTGTGTGGTGGGGCCCGAGGGGGGGGGTCCCGGTGGGGGGGGGGGCGCGTGGGAAATCCTTTACCGGGGGGGGGGGGGGGGGCACGGTTCTTTACCGCCCCCCCCCCCACCCCCCTCGTGTCTCGCCCTCGTGGTCCTGGGGGGGCTCAACCGGATCCCTCCCGCTCCCCCCTCCCCGGGGAAACTGAGGCACAGGGGGGTGGTTTTCGGGGGGGGTGGGGGCGGTGTCGGAGTCCTCCCGTTCCCGTTGTGCCCCCCCCGGCCTGTCCCCGTGCCCCCCCCCCCCCCAGGTTTTAATGTAGGCGCCGGGGGGGGCTTTGGTCCATGGAGCCGATGGGTCCGCGTCCCTGCTGGGGGGGGGGGGGTATTTGGGAGGGGGGGAGGGCCCTGGGAGGGTTTTGGTGATTCCTACACCCGGGGGGGGGCACATGGGGGTTGCCCCCCCCCTCCCTGGGGTTTAATTGGGATCCACGTGGCCTCGGTGGTGGGGAATGCGCTGCCCCAGATACGTGGGGCTGCCCCGCTCGCCCCCCCCCAGGCATCCTGCGGCGTGTCCTGGGGGGGGATGGGACACCCGGGGGAGGGCTCACGGTGATGGGGGGGGAAGGGAGCGGGCTGTGGGGTGCGGGGTCTTAGAGACCCCCCCCATGGGGAACGGGAACGCAGTTCTGGGTGCTGGGCTCAGCCCCTTTGTGCGGGCTTTGGGGCTGGGGGGGAGAACCGAGAGGTCTGGGGGGGGCACCTGAAGGTCTGGGGGGGCACCCAAGGGGTCTGTGCCCCCACTCACGGCTCTCGTGCCCCCCCGCAGCCGCGCGCCTCTCCGGAGGGCCGCAGGAGGCAGGATGGACGAACAGAAAGCGCCCGGCGAGGACAAGGACGCGGAGGCGCCAGGTGGGCAGGGGGCAGGTTCCTCTATTTTATTTTTTTTTTTTTTGGGGGGGGGGGGCTCGTCCCGACGGGCCGCTGAGGGTCACCTTCCCTGCAGCCGATGCGGCCGCGCCCTCGGAGGAGATGGGCAGCGCCGAGGGGGACCCCCTGAAACCCCCCGAAGGAGCCTCCGCGGGGCCGGGGCTGGAGAGCGCGGACACCGGGGGAGCTCCCCAGGCCGGCAGGTGAGGATTTGGGGGGGGGGGGCTCGGGGGCGGCCTGGATTTTTGGGGGCGCTTCTGCACGTCCCCAACGCCCTCTGTCCCCCCTCCCTCGCAGCGCGCCAGCCCGCCGCTGCGCCCTCTGCAACTGTGGGGACTGGAGCCTGCACGGGCAGCGGGAGCTGCAGCGCTTCGAGCCGGAGCCCGACTGGCCCGAGCGACTGCGGGGGGGGCTCGAGCCCCCCGAGGGTCCCGGCGAAGCCCCCCAGGAGCTGGAGCCGGCGGGCGATGACCTGGCACAGGTCGGGTTCTCCGAGCGAGTGTCCGCGGCGCAGCTCTTCGAGCCGACGGGTGAGTGGGGGCCCCGTGGGGGATCCCTCGTGCCATGGGGGGTCCTAAAGCCCCGTGGGGGTCCCAAAGCCCCTTGGGGGTCCCTATCCCATGGGGATCCCGGTTCCTGACGCCCCCTCCCCGCAGGGCACTGCTGGGTTCACCGCTGGTGCGCAGCCTGGTCCGATGGTGTGGAGCGTGCCACGGGGGGGCTGGCCGGCGTGGGCAGAGCTGTTTTCTCAGGGATCTCACAGGTGAGCGGCTCTCAGAGAAGGATCAGGGGATAAGGGGGGGGGGGCAGAATGTCCCCCCCCACCCCCAGTCCTCAGCCCTGACCCCGCCGGGCTGCTCCCCCTTCCAGAAATGTGAACACTGTCGGCGGAGGGGGGCCACCATCCCGTGCCGGGCTGCCGGCTGCCCCCGGCTCTACCACTTCCCCTGCGCCGCCGCCAGCGGCTGCTTCCAGGCCATGAAGAGTTTTCGGCTCCTGTGTCCCGAGCACGTGGCCGAGGCGGCGCAGATGGGTGCGTGCCGGGTGCTGGGTCCTGCTCCCGAGGGGACAGGGAAGCACGGAGGGGGGGGTTGGGTTTGGTACCCAGGGGGGGGTCCTGACGCCCTAATCTCCCGCGCAGAGGACGCCCGGTGCGTGGTGTGCGACGGGCTGGGCGACGCGCGGGACCTGCTGTTCTGCACCAGCTGCGGGCAGCACTACCACGGCGCCTGCCTGGACATCGCGCTCACGCCCCGCACGCGCTCAGGGTGGCAGTGCCCCGACTGCAAAGTGTGCCAGA